TGAAGCTCTTTATCAGACAAATACCCTCCAAGGGCCATTTTATCCCTGCAATCTTTACAGCAGGCCTAACAAGATGTCGGGTCAAATGGACCCAACAACTTAATCAGAAGGTAAAGAGAGCCCTAACAGAGGATAATTTTCAAAAAATCTGCACAGCCTTTTTATCAGTCAACCCAACTCAAGACTTATTAGAACTATATAAAAGTTTAGTTTATGAGCTACAACCATTATTAGCACATGACCAAAATTTCTCAGTTAAGAGGTCCTGTACCACCTCCAAACCATGGTTTGATAAGGATTGCATAGAAGCCAAGAAAGCTTTTAACTTGGCATACAAGGAGTACAAAAGCGAGACTGGATATGGCAATAAAGCTATTCTTAAGCAGTTACATTCAAAAAACAATTCAAGCAATTGATTGCATTCAAGAAGAGACAAGACACAAGGTCTTCCTGGGAACAGCTCATTGAAGCGGCAAAGCAAAAGAACTCTTTATTTTGGCGTCTAATGGCTTGCCACTGTGAAAGATTCTATATCCGGTTAGACCAGCGGTTCTCAACCTGTGGGTCGCAACCCTTTTGGGGGGTCGCACGAGCCTTTCACAGGGGTTGCCTAAGACCATTGGAAAACACATATTTCCGATGGTCTTAAGCATGGCTTGTCAACCGCCTTCTCTCCCTCCCCCCCTCCGCTCCACTTCACTTGTGGAAAATATGCTGCTTGGCGGCAGTCTGCACGAACTCTACCAAATGTGCCCTGCAGGGGGTGCATGAAGAGTGCAGGTGCAGAGCAAGGCCCCGCCCTCCCCAGAGACTCATTGTGCAGCAACTGGATTGACTTCTCGTGCACACAGGTCAGCAAAGGGGAGGCCGCCACAGCACCCAACTCCTGCACACGTCAGCTGGTGACCCCTGAACTTGTGCTTGTCAGCCGGGAGGTCTGGCGATGGCCGCAGGTCTCCTTTGCCACCCCATCCGTCCTTGACTCCTCCTCCACCCGTTCATGTCGAGCCCGCTGGGGCTTGACAGGGAGAGAGGGAGGGAAGGAGGAAGGGACTCCTCCTCCTCTCCTAAGCTTCAAAGCACGATCGGCTTCCCAAGGGCACCACAATCCTCACGAAAGCAGGGGGGGCGAAGCAAAGGGGGTGAGAAAGCTTGTGGCGGGCTCGAAGGAGCACCTGTCAGCATTGGTGATGAGAAATTCCCCACAAACCCAGGGAAGGGGTGGAGAAAAGGAGCCCCCTTTGGGAGGAAACCGCCACCTTCTTCTCCTTGGCTTTGCACTCTTCTGTTTCTCGGCAGCCGGGCTACCAAGCCTCTGCTGGCTGGAACTTCCTTCCCTTCCCTTCCCTCCCTCTTGGTCTCTTCCTCCTTCCCTCCCTCTCCCATTGTCCCTTCCTTCCTTCCTTCCTTCCTTCCTTCCTTCCTTCCTTCCTTCCTTCCTTCCTTCCTTCCACCTCCCTCTTTGTCCCTCCTTCCTCTTTCCCCTTGTCCCTTCCATCCTTCCTTCCTTCTCTCTTGTCCAGGATCAGGGTGAGACTCGACAGCTGATCCGCGCTTCTGCAGCTGTAGCTGCTTTCCTTGGCTCCTGCCCAGCAAACTTGCTCTAGCCGGCTAATTTAACAGAAGTGCGAATCAGCTGTAGCCCGGCGCTGATCCTGGAGCTTCTGTTAACTTAGCAAGCGGCATGTCTTTCGGCGAAGCTGAGCAAGTGAGCTGGGCGAGCTCTCCTCTGTCTGCCTGTGCACAGGCAGTTTGCCAGCAGTAAAGCCCCCAGCCATGCTGGCAGCCTATCCCCCTCCCCTTGTCCCTTCCTGGGCATGGAGGGGGGAGGAAGGAAGGGACGAAGAGGGAGGGAAGTAAGGAACAATGAGAGAGGGAAGGAAGGAAGGAACAATGGAAGGGAGGGGAGGGAGGAAGGGACAAAGAGGAAAGGAAGGAAGGAAGGAAGGAAGGAAGGAAGGAAGGAAGGAAGGAAGGAAGGAAGGAAGGAAGGAAGGAAGGGACAAGAGGAGAGAGGGAGGGAAGGAGGAAGAGACTAAGAAGGAAGTGAAGGAAAGGAAGGAAAGGAAGGAAAGAAGGAAGGAAGGGACAATGGGAGAGAGGGAGGGAAGGAGGAAGAGACTAAGGGAGGGGAAGGAAAGGAAGGAAGGAAGGAAAGAAGGGACAATGAGAGAGGGAGGGAAGGAGGAAGAAACTAAGGGAGGGGAAGGAAAGGAAGGAAAGAAGGAAGGGAGGGACAATGGGAGAGAGGGAGGGAAGGAGGAAGAGACTAAGGGAGAGGAAGGAAAGAAGGGACAAAGGGAGGGAAGGAAGGCAGGCACCCATCCCACTCCCATCCCAGAGACCCACAGATTCCCCCCCCCACAGGCACTCTGCAACCTGAGTGATCAGCTGGCCACACCCCTTGGCCATTGATCACATGACCTTGGGACACTGTGAACGTCATAAGTATGAATCAGTTGTCAAGTATCCGAATGTAAATCACATGACCCTGGGGATGCTGCAACAATCATAATTGTGAAAAATGATCATAATTTGCTTTTTCAGTGCTGTTGTAACTTCAAACTGTCACTAAGCGAATTGTTTTAAGTCGAGGACTACCTATACTTTCCCATATTTTCCTCTTTTTTTGGTTAAGTTTTTGATACCCTCCCGGCCAGCTGGATGGGGGGTTGAGTGTCACCATAACATGAGGAACTGTATTAAAGGGTCGTGGCATTAGGAAGGTTGAGAACCACTACGTTAGACTGTCATATATCTCCTATAACCTGGGAACTTCATTTTCGGAAGTGTACTCCAGCGAGAGTACAAGGTCTATAATGAAGGATTTACCTGAGTGGCCCCCAGTTTCAGAGTCTGAAATTAAATCCCTCATTGGCCAACTCAGGATCGGGAAGGCTCCAGGAGCTGACTTCATTTCGGCTGCATTATTAAAGAATAATATGGAGTGGTGGATACCCATCCTGGCAGCGCTATTCACCTACAGTATATTGACTCCACCGGACATGTCCCAGAGGATTCGGGCTTGGCAACTGTGATCCCAATTTATAAAAAGGGAAAGAGAGACGACCCTGCCAATTACAGACCAATAGGTCTGTTAAATATAATCAGCAAACTCTATGCCAAACACCTTTAAGATAAATTAAAGGAGTGGCTGCATCTTGAGAACCTGATTCCCGAAGAACAAGCCAGGTTTAGAGAGGGGAGAGGCACCATAGATCAGTGCTCAGTTCTTCATCATTTGATTGAAAAATATGCATCAGATAGACCTGTATCATTATACGCTACCTTTATACATCTTAAGGCAGCTTTTAACACAGTTACAAGGATTAAGCTATGGGAGAAGCTGGAAGCTGCCTCAATTGATCACAGACTCCTCCATCTTACATACCAAAGCATCCCTCAAGGTGAGGTGTAATATGCAAGAGTCTCTCTCAAAGTCAGTTGAAACCCAAAAGAGGGATAAACGGGTGCATTTTGGCCCCCTTGCTCTTCAATTTTTACATAAATGATATGGTAAAATGGTTAAATAATCCAAATTACCACCCCCAAAAATAGGTGACTGAAGCATTGCTCTGCTGCTCTATGCAGATGATGCTGTGATCTTCTCCAGGACTCCAGTTGGCCTTAAAAGAGTCTTGTGAGCCCTTGTCCAGTGTTGCAAATATAATAAACTGGACATAAATTATGAGAAAACAAAGGTTATGGCCTTTTCAAAAAGGCCAAAATAGTATTTAAATAGCCACAAAATATCTTTAAGTACCTAGGGGTGGTCATCCATGCCACTGGCTCACAAAAAGCCCCTGGAGAATACGCGGCTGCCTCTGGCCAACGATCAGCGAATGCCATTTTAAATTTTTCTGCACAAAGGGAGGACATTATGTTCCATCTGCAATTAAGCTTTTTCTGGCCAAGTCGCTAGCACAGCTTCTCTATGGGACCTTGCTCGGACCCTCAGCTTCGTGTTTTACACCACTGGAAAGAGTTCAATCCAAATTTATCAGAACAATTCTCCAGATGCCGCACTGTGTCCCAAATGTACTTCTGCACCTGGAGACAGGATTGATAAAAGTTGAAGCAAGAATTTGTATAGCTTCCTTAAATATCTGGCTAAGGATTAATTACTTTCTGCAAGGCCTTGCTCCATTAATTCTTCAAGATAAATTCTCCTCTTCATGGATCAAGGCAGTCAAGTCGAATCTTGCCAAACCAGGCTTCTCGTCAGCCTCAATTCTCAAATTGGACTACGACCAAGCAAAACAAACCTTGCGTCAAAGGGTAGAGGACATCGAGAGGCAAGTGGACTTAGGTATAGCTCCGCTGTTTCTGCCAGGTACCTTAGTCAGTTTGAGTCAGTAAACCACTGGAAAGCATTCTCGCTTGCACAGTGCCATGTGTTTCCATTGGCTGTCCTGTACGATAAGTATAAAAAGACACCATGGGCTGAAAGACTGCTCCTGTGGCTCAGGAGAGGTGGAGACCATTGGACACATACTCCTTCAATGTTCCTTCTATAGAGCTATTCAGAAAAACCATATTCTCCCCATAATTGATAGGTATCCTGGTCGTTTGGAAAGTATTTATCTCCTGTTGCTGCTTAAAGATGATCAGGCAGTGATCACGGCGCAGGTGGCTAGATTCTGTGCAGCAGCATTGGGGATTTGCCAGAAATGTAAATAAACATTTTAGATCTTTTTAATAATCTTTTATAATTAATTTTATTATGTCTTTTTATGCAGCATTAGACTATACTCAATGTATTTTTATTGTCAGGTCAATATAATTCAGTTTTTCTGAAAGTAGCTACTGTCTGTAAAACTAGGAAGATCTTGGTCACCCATCATTAAATGTAATATATTGCTATGTCTTCTTGTGTTGGTTCTGTTTAGTTTTGTTTTATTTCAATGTTTAATTTATGTGTTGGCCTTTTGCTGTAATAATAAATTAATTGATTATTTGTGGCATTATGGAAAATATCCTGTTCTTCCCAAGATACCAACCTCCAGGTATGCTGGAATACAAGTAGTCCTCAATATATGAATATTTGTTGAATGATGGTTTGAAGAACATGATTGCAATTTGCAACCTTCCCAGCCAGCTTCTGCCAAGTAAAGTCAATGGGAGAAATTCAATTCACTCAATAACCACAGTAAAAATTATAACATTGAGACCAGTCATATGATGGCTTGCTTAATGGCTGCATCCCTTAGTGACCAAAATTCCAATCCCAACTGTAGTTGTAAATTGAGGACTACCTGTACATTTATAATCCCTTGGCTCCTTCAGTCAAAATGGGAGATTATGGATTATGTATAGAGAATGCTAGATTGTGGAATGCTGACACAAGTACACATAAGAGATCCATTTAGCAATCCCAACTCTTAATAATTACTTGTCAGAGCATGCACAGTGAGATAACCCAGGAGTAAATACAGTAAACAGTGGTCATATTAAATGGTGGTTTATTTCACACTATCTACAATATCATACACCAGGAACAATATACATATACATGCTAATACAGCAGGATTCAATACACCACAGTTACAGCACACAGTTATACAAAGCTCTTAAAGGGACATAGGTCCAGCTGGCTCTTAAAGGGAGATAGACCCTGCTGAGTCATTTCCATCATTCCATCATACATCTTGCATTACATCAGTTGGTTAGCTTTTAAATCATTACCTTGACACTTTTCCCATTTAAAGCTAAACAGCTGTTAACCCAAATGCTTTTATACATTCTTGATGCTTGCCTGCATTTAAAGGCTTAGTCAACATATTGGCTATATTGCTATCAATGGAACAATGCTGTAATTTTATCAGTTTATTCTTTACAGCCTCCCTGATGTTACAACATTTTGTGTCTATATGTTTGCTTCTGCTTCCAATATGTTCTCTTGTTGCCATCTTTATACATGCAACATTGTCCTCAAACATTGGCACAGCTTCTTTCACATCAGTACGTACATCTCTGAGTAATTGGACATACCAAGTTAATTCAGAACATTCTTCAGGCAATGCTATAAATTCAGCTTCAGCAGTTGACAGAGCTACTGAAGGTTGTTTTCTGGATTTCCATCCAATTGCGGTTCCAGCAAATAATATCACAAATCCTGTGTCTGACTTTCTGTCAGGCATATCATTTCCCCAGTCACTGTCTACATAGCATTGTAATGATAGGGTATCAGTTAGTCCCAGGTCCATTGTGCCTTTTAAATATCTAACCATTCTTTTTATCCCTAACCAGTGTGCGTCATGTATGTGTTTCACTTTGAGAGCGGGCAACTAAATTTCATTTTTGATGTGTGTTGTTGTGCCCATAGTAAAAAAATGACAATAAAGGTTATCTTATCTTATCTTATCTTATCTTATCTTATCTTATCTTATCTTATCTTATCTGTGATGTTGTTTGGGTGCTGAAATGTGCCAACTCAAAATGCTAACCGCATTGGCTATATCTCGTCTTGACCATTGGGATAAATACAATAAGCTACCTATAGCTGATTGGTACATTTCTTGATCACATTCTGTGTTATCTACTGTATCATTCTGGAAGCTTGGGGTCATAGGAGTTAATACACTGTTACAGCCCAGCATATCATACTTCTCTAACAGCTGTTTTATTTTCTTTGTTTGGCTTAATACATATCCTCTCTGTTTTGGTTTTCTTATTTCCACACCTAGATAATTCTTTATTTTCCCTAGGCTTTTTAATTGAAACTTCCTTTCAAGTTGCTTGAGAAAGGAGTCAACTTGGGAGCGATTCTTGGTAATAAAATACAAGTCATCAACATAAGCTAACAGGAAACAGTCTGCACCTTTATACTGTGCAGTGTACAAATATGGATCTGCCTTGTTGCTTCTAAAAAACAACTCTTTGAGAGCAGCATCTAAACACTGATTCCAGTTTCTTGCTGACTGTTTTAACCCACATATGGCTTTATTCAATTTATATACATATCTAGGGTGCTTAGTTTCATAACCTGGAGCTTGTGCCATATATATGCCATCCTCTAATTCAACATTTAAATATGTAGTGGTTATATCAAAATTATAAATGGTTTAACTGCATGCAGCTACTAAAGCCAATGCTAGCCTTATGGTCTCACCTCTTACTATTGGTGCAAACACTTCATCATAATGCACATTTTTTCTCTATGTAAATCCTTGCACAACTAACCATGCCTTATACTGCAGTTCATTATTGTGTAAAACCTTTTTATATACCCATTTACACCCCACAGCCTTTGTTCCTTCTGGTAATCTCATAAGGGTAAACACCTGATGCATATTCATAGACTCTATTTCTCTGTCCATAGCCTCCTTCCATTTATCCTGTTCTACCTGAGGCAATGATAACATCTCTTGGTAATTACAGGGTTCATACATTACATGATATGTTTTAACAACACTTGCTGAGAACCGATCAGGAGGTACACCTTTATTGCTATATTCAGATCTCCTTGGTATCATCTGTTCCTGTGTTTCTATTACTTCTCTCTTTACTCAGGTCTATCCTCTTTTAGTCCTACTATTTCCGACCAGCTATACTTTTCTTCCTTCATTGGGCTTTGTGTAGTCTCTACTTCCTGACAACTAGTGCTACATGTTGGTATGAACCTCAGTGTTAGCATGCACCCTGTCCAACTTGTTTTGTTCTGTAAAACTAGCAGACCTTGAAATCATAACCTTTTTGGTCCATCTATGAATCTATACCCTTTGGAACCTGGCTCATATCCAACAAATCTAAGTTTCCTGGCCTTTTTCTGTCCTTTCCTTCTGGTGCTTTTGAGAATATGGACCCCAGCATAACTGCCAAATGTCCTTAGGTGAGCCAATGAGGGTTTCCTTCCAAATAACAAGTAATATAGAGTTTTGTTGATAGCAACACTTCATACCCTGTTTACTAGACAGTTGGCTGTTTTCATGGCTTCCCCCCAGTACATTTTACTCACTCCTGCATCTGCCAGGAGTGAGTCTTTCATGGTTTGCAATATGCCATTCCTTCATTCAGCCACCCCATTTTCTGCTGGTGAATATGGATTCGTACGTCTATACCTGATGTCTAAGTTCCTCAGCCACTTTTGGAAGTTGTCAGACATAAACTCTGTTCCCGTCTGCTTGCAGCTGGCATACTTTATGACCATATCTTCACTCTACAAAGTTCATCCATTGCCTGAACTGTTGTAGGACTTCTGTTTTGCTCTTTAATAGATAGCAGAACCCATATCTGGTGTAGTCATTTACTAAGACAAGTACATACCTAGCTCCAATTAAATCAGTGTGCACTAATTGCAAAGCTCTGTTTGTTTGCCTTGAACTTTTCTTACTTACATTAAAAGATACACTCTGGACTTTGACTCCTTACAAATAGTGCAATCTAAATATGTGTTGCATTGCTTAATGTGTATCCTTCAGCTAGGTCTGGCATCCTTTGCAGCACTCTAAAATTTGCATGACCTAACCTCCTGTATAATAAATGTACGCAATCATCATGTGTGGGAGTGTTTGTAAGTATTCATGCACAACCATCCTGCTTCTTTCCTAACATGTATAAATTATCCAGCTTAACAACTTGTGCACAAATCCTCCCACTTTTCCTGATGCTGTAGTGACCCTTTGCAAACAGTACTTCATACCCCATATTATCTAAACTCGAAATATTGAGTACATTAGGGTGTAACTCTGGTATATATAATACATTATCAAATGTTTTTCCAATACTAGATACATAAACTTTACCTTCCCCTTTAACAGCAGACTGTTTTCCATTAGCCAGGCTAACAAATGTTTTTTTAGCTGGTCTTAGGTTTGAAAACATTGTGGATCATTTGCAATATGCTGACTCACCCCACTGTCTAAAAGCCAAGTGGTTTTTTTTAGTTAATGTTGCTGCCAGGGAAAATGTCAGTTGTGTAACTTCACGGCCTTGTTTCAGTGCTCCTCTATTTCTCTTCTCTCTCTCTTCTTTCTAGAGATGCTCTGTAGGACCACATGTGAAGCAGCGTTTCACCATGCAAATGTTCTCAGCTGCTCTACTGTCAACTTTGGATGTTGCAGTTTTAGGCCTGGTCTGTGCGTTGTCGTTCCCTCTCTGCTGCCTTTCTAGCCATTTCTGTTCCTCCTCCAGCAAGCGGCCAGTCAAATAACTCATGATTAAGTCCCTCTCTTGCACAGACTCTAAACGGGTCATCAGAACGTCCCATGAAGTGTTCAAGGAACTGAGCACCACATATACCTTTTGTGCCTCAGTAAAAGTCATTCCTCTGTCTTCTATCTCTAGGAATATCTTTCTCATGGACTGCAAATGAGTAGACATGCTCTCTCCTGGTTTCAGTTAGGCCTTATATAGCTTTCTTATCAGCATTATTTTGCTACTCGCAGTCTCTCTCATGTACACACTGCGCAAAGCTTCCCAGCACTCTTTAGTAAACTGGAGACCCTTTACGTGTATCAGCTGGCTATCGTCCAAACTCAAGATTTTGCTGGCCAATGCTTTCTCTTTCTCTGGTCTACATCATCCAGGGCTGCAGGTGGATCAGCAATTATCACCCACAACTCCTCCCTTTGCAGGTACATCTCCATTTTCAGACTCCAGGAAAAGTAGTTTGTCTCATTCAGACAAGATACTATAAAACCTCCTCCCATTACACTGACGCAGTCCATGTTGCCTGCTACCACCACAAACCACAACAAACCACAAGCCTTAACTCTCTGGCTCTGGGTCAAGCTCTCACTGGGTTTCTCTTCACTCTGGGCCCATAACCTATCAAAGCATGCACAGTTTTACTGTGTGAGATAACCCAGGAGTAAATACAGTAAACAGTGGTCTATATTAAATGGTGGTTTATCTTACACTATCTACAATATCACACACCAGGAACAATATACGTACATGTGCTAATACAGCAGGATCCAACAAACCATAGTTACAGCAGGAAATGGAAGAGAGAGCACACATCTGCAGAACCTTCCCTTTTATACAAAGCTCTTAAAGGGACATAGACCCAGATGGCTCTTAAAGGGACATAGGTCCTGCTGAGTCATTCCCATCATTACATCGTACATCTTGCATTACATCAGCTGGTTAGCTTTTAAATCATTACCAGGACATTACTGGATACAGCCTATTTGCACAGTAAAGCAAAGAACAGGAATAAGCATGCATAGAATGGAGAATCCCATTATTTATGAGCCTTCTTATTGATGACTGCTGTTACTATTAAAGTAAAGGAAGTTGCTCCCATGGACACATCAGAAAGGATAAAAAGGCCCATCTGTCTGATTGGTTAAATTAAAATACCTGTAACAAACTATTAATTTTAGAAAGTATTACTTCAGAGAAAGAGTAGTGGAAGCTTGGAACCAACTTCCAGTGTTAGTTGGAAGTTACTGATGGGTCAGTCAGTAACTGACTGAGTTTAAATATGCTTGAGATAAACACATGTCCAACTTTTGATTTAAAAAAAAAACCTCAAAGGGCAAATTTGATGGACCACTGGGTCTTCTGCCATCAGTTTTCTGTTTCTATGTTAAAGAATGGTTGAGTTCTGAAGCATTATTACCCTCAAGACATCAGCTGGTCAGATCTGCACCCTTTGTTCAAGCCTAAATTTGCCTGCCATCCAATGGCACCCTCTTTTGCAAACTGGTCTGAGGCAGTCAAACAGTCCAGGGCCTCCTTGAAAATTCCCTTCATTTTCCAGAGCAGGTTATTAATCTTCTTGAGAAAAGCACTCTGATGGAACAAATCCATTTAGGGATCATTATGTCCTGCTCACTGTGGCATGAAGAAGCCCTAGTAACCATTTATGGAGAACATAGCCTTATGATATCATCTTCAACTCACCCCCTGCCTACCTATAAAGGCAGCTTAAATTTGCATTTTGCTGTTCCATTTTCAAAATAGCATTCTTATTTTCATTGCTTCTCCTATCACACTTTCTTGCTGTACAAGTGATCTGCAGGGCTTTGGTTATGACCTTGGAGATGTACAGCCAGGAGCTGAGATGTGCCCAACTCCTATTGGCTCCTTTAGACTGCCATAGACTTTCTCTGTCCCATGTGGCAGCCAGGCACTGTCTTCCAGGGCACTTTGATTTGGTTGCCTAAAAAAACTAGATCCCTGGCTTCTGCAGATGAATTTGCTTTCATCATGTTTGACCAGGTCTCTTTGATACAGGGATTTAGTACAGATATGAATTAAGCAAGAAACACTGGAGAAATAGTGCCATTAAATGGCAAATGGCATTTTGCCCACTTTTTGATTTGAAAAGACAGAGGTGTTCTTTGTATGGCAAGCTGATCTCCCTTTTATAAAATGGGCTGCCTGGAATAAGAAGGGAAATTCCCAGTATAGTACTATAGAGAATTTACAGGGGTTTGCAAATATGTCATTTATATCATATCTTTCAAAATGACTGTTTGGAAAGGCCAGGTATCTTACTAGACTTTTGTAATATGACTATTTCAACTACTACAATCCTATTCTCAAGGAGAAGGATTATAATTTTCCTCAGATCAAGATAGTGTCTTGGCTCAGGATTCTGAATCTGAATCTGAAGAAGTTGCTCCATCTGTACCAGGAGGGACCAAGAATCGTGAGGCTCAAACACAGGCAGCAACAGAACAATAGAAGTTATGTCCTCCAAGTCATTGGAGGCAGTTTCAGATTACAAAGTTTTACTCCAAAGAGGAGACAGTAATTGTTGGACAATTTTTTGGGGGGAAAAAGTGTTGAGTTTAAATTGTTTAGTTAGACCTATATAGCCATCAACCAAAAGAAATGACTCTGAATTGTTTTGCTTAGATTTGTAAATGTTTAACATACTTAATAGAAATTTGTTTCCATCTGAATGGTATTTGATTAACTTGGAATTTGACTTATTGACCAAAGGAAACCAACCTGGAGATCTCATTGTAGTTCCACTTGCAGCATTTCCACAGTTGAGCAAATTAAGTACTTGAGTACTCAATTTGTGGACAGAATTCCACATAAAAAATTTCACTTAACACTTTTCATATTTCTTATTAGTAAGCTACTATCAGAAGTATTATCTGTGTTAGAAGCACAAAAAGTATATTGTATTGAATGGCTTTACTTACCCCATCCCAAAATGTTTTATCTTTTATCCAGGCTGTTGCTGAAATAATAACCTTAGGACACAATCGAGCTTGTCCTTGAAATGGGACAGATTTAATTAATATTGTTCTTCCTATCCCAAAATTTGATTTTCAATTTTATTTTCAGAATAACTTATCTCTTCAGTGATCTTTAACTGATTATATAGGCTGTATTTCATATCATCTGCCTACACTGCAGAGCAATCCTCACCACAACGCTCAGAATTATCTGCTGCTATTTTGGCTTTCCACACCTTTTCTCAACAGACTTTTAACTTAATCTCTGACTCTCATTATGTGTGCCAACTTATTTTTAATTTTCCAGGTGTTTACATCATGCCCGGGAACAACTCCAATCTTATGGCTTTGTTTTTAACTTTACAGCAGCTATCCTTTGTTTCTCACAGACGCATCGGTCCTTTAAGGACTGCCTTCACAAACAAATAAAAAAAGGAGGGATCAAGGGTACCTAATTTGGCATGGATAACTCGTCAAGTCAATAAAGTCCTAATAACTTTAAATCAGCTAAATATTTCCTTTTAAAAAACTACTGCCTACCAGCGTCACTTTCAGCAGAAAGCTGTGCTCCCTAATCCATTGGTATGTTATCGGCAATTGCCTGATAAAACCTGGTTAGGTCCAATTCCCTTACTAACTTGGGGGCGAGGCTATGCTGCTGTGCTTGCTCCTACAGGCCCTCTCTGGATTCCAGCCCAGTGCGTGCGACCAGCCAAAGATGTCATGGCATCAAGTCCAGAACCCAATACTGGAAATGAAGCAGGTGACTCTTCAGATAGCACAATGTCCCTTTCGCTCTCGCCATCGCAGTTGACCAACAACCTGGGGCGATGTGAAAAACCTAACATCCAAAGCACAGAAGGTTCTGCGGCAACAGGGAAAAGAACCTACACCAGAGAATTTATGCACTGCCATATTTGTGGTTTTGACTGCAAATTCCTTAGTCATTCTTTGCCTCTCTTTCCTTCTTAATTGCTGTGTGGGGGCTCAAGCTCTCCCACCTCATCCTTTAGAATCACAGATGAAATATAATATTTAGGTGCAATTAGTTAATGTAACACAAGTGACAGACTTTTGTATTTCTGAATCATATGATATGAAAAATCTACTCTCTACCTGTCTTATACCTTTGTGTGTTCCAGCTTCAGTTTTAAAAAAAATTATACTGGTTTAAGCAATTTTCTATCAGACAATGAATTTCATTATGCAACTATGTCAAACTGGGGTCATGCCTCTTATATGTTACCCCTTGATGCTATTGTTTTGCATACACCAATTGTAGCTGTGCCTACAAATCTTACTTGTACAAAAATTGTCAATTGTACTACTTCACCTAAAAAACTTCATTGTATACATGTCAGTCAAAGAATTTTAAATTGTACCTCCTTTCAAGAGGTATCCTTTAATTATGCACATATATGGTTATTCAATGTCTTTTTTTTCTCTATTTTCAATTTTCCACACTAAACTACCACTAACTTACCTCAGGAACAAGTTATGTTTTGTATAAACAAATGCAAAGTTATATGTCCCCTGACTAAGACCCATTAACTACTCCAGCTTAGGATAATGTCCTCACTAATAAAATAGAGAAGAGTGAGATGTGCGGAAAAATGCACGCACAGCAAACTGCCATGCTTCCCCCCCCCCAAACCTCATAACTTTTTGATACCCTTTGTCCTAGTGAAGCAGCCAGAAGGTCATACCCTTTTGACTTAATGCCTCACCTACCTAAACAGATAATATGCTTAAGTTCCTTCCTATCTCTTCCTGTCTTTGTCAGTTGTTTCTCCTTTCGATCCACCTGTATTTGTTCTTACCTGGTCTTTGACCATGTAATGTGTTACTAGAAAATAGTTGCTTATATGAAGGAATTTTCCAATGAAGAAACTTTATGTCAGCATCTAATGGTTAAACTTATGAATGTAAAATGTCAGCATTTAATGGTAAAGCCTATGTATGTAACAAGTATATAAGAAGCAATAAACTCAGAGTTTGTCAAGCTGTGTCCTGCAGCTTCAAACCTCTGCTCAAGACATGCCTGCGTCTTTTACTTAGCATCTTACAATAGCTGATCAGAAAAGAGAAGCAAAGTGTTGCTCCAGTTCCTGCTAACCTAGCAATTTGAAAGCTGGTACATATGCTTAGATAAATAGGTACCACTTCGGTGGGAAGCTAATAATGTTATGTGTGTCTTGGCGAATACTGACCACATGGCCACATAAGTATCTTTGGACAATGCTGGCTCCCTTAGCTAAGAAACAGAAATAAGCACACAGACCTCCAGAGTTCGACTTGACAGGACAGGTCAAGTGAAATGCACCATTTCACTTTCTAAAACTGTTTATGGTCTATGTAGCCCAGGGCACTGTTGGAAGCAATTTATGTTTGCAATTAGTGATTTGATTTGCAGTATACTACTTTCCCGTTCATTTTAAATTTAAAACTAGGGCAGAGATCCAATGTGACCAAAGAATACATTAATGCAGTGATGGGATTCAGCCAGTTCGCACCAGTTTGCAAAACCGGTAGCTCATTTTTTGTTGCCCAGGCCCAGAATAGACTTCTGGAAGTGGCATCCAGACAGAGAACCGGTTGTTCACATATTTGAATCCCACCACTGCATTAATGAGACTTTGCCACTGCCCTGTTGGAGATCACTGGAGAAAAGCAAAAAAAAAAATAAAAAAAAAATTCAAAAGGGAGTAGAGATTAATTCTGATAGCTTAAAATAAAGTTGTACTCTGTAACCAAATTCAGGCTTTGTATTCTTTGGTGTCTCCAAAGA